TTAAAATGTTAATGTTAAAATAAAATTTTGTCAGTTAAGTGACAAAATGAGCATATCTCTGCAACAGCTTTATGACATGGTAGTGTGTCCACATGCTTATTTCTTCTGCTACACACTCGAAAGTATAAACTTTTTCTTCTCAAAAAGAGTGCATGCTTGTAGGAATATGGTTAATAGTAGGCTATGAGCAGGTGATCCGGGATATGCCACTTGTATCCAAAGTTAATACAAGGGTGAACAGGTGGTTCCTTAAACCTCAACAAATGAACTTTGTTATCCACAAGCCTGATCTTTGACAAACATATTGCCTCCTGTCCTGGTGGTTGACAAGAGTAGGAGGATGTGGGGTTATGCGACATCTGAAAGGTTCTGATAGTGAATGGATACTATAAGGCCACCAGGTGGTGCCAATCCTTCAACTTCCTGAACAGTTCACACCTGAAAAAAATGGGTGCTTCTGCTTCTCAAACGGAAGGCTGCATCCTACCGAGGCTAGCTGCGTCCTTCCTAGCTCAGTCCTTCAGAGGCTTGTAGGTTAGAGTCCTCCTCGGCATTAAACGCTAGAATGAGACAGTCTAGTAAGTGCGCGTGGCTATACGCCACATATGTTCCCGCCCTCACCGCCTTAGTTTTGGAAAAATACTTTGTATCACAAATCATTATATTATTTGGCTTTCTATTAATGCAATACAAAGAATCACAGCCGTCTAGTCTCCCAGTGGCTTACATTACTGGCAGTTTAGTGTTTAGTGAGTAATTTACACCAAAACAAAAGATAACATCTATGCTTTCATGTCCGAAAACATTATTTTTTGTCTTACATTTCATAATAAATTCAGACATGGTCAGTACTGAAACGTTTTTCGTCAGTTTATTTTCATGAAATGGAATGGTTACAAAGGAGTGTGGGTGATTGAAGGTCGCAAAGGATACATCCCATGCATCCTTCAAATTCAGCTGAATGAAGGACGCGAAACGAAGGCTGCCTTCCAAGTATCCTTGCGAGACGGCCTTCAGCGATGTTTGATGACGTGGCAGGCGGCAGCTGAGATATGCAGCCTTCCGTTTGAGAAACACCCAATGTATCATCAATAGTGTTAGACTGGATGGTTCCACGACGTATGACTTCGTTTAATACTTAAATTTTAAAAGAATGTAAGCTGCACCAAAGTGCTTGTGAAGAAAATAATTTATTGAGGATGAATTTATTACCTCAATGTGGTAGCCTAGATGGAACATTCTGTCACGTGGAAGTCAGGTAATCTGACTGGAGCACTTTTTCAGTTTTGTGTGCAATATTATGTAAGACAAAAAACAAACATGGGTAAATGTCTTTCACATTTAAGCACAGGCCATTTACATTTATAATTCCGCCTCTTATGTTGATCTTTGGCCAAGTACATACAGTCTGACTGCTTTACTCTAAACCTTTACTCTACATTAATTCCTCCAAATCGGAATGTAATCTGTGTGCTTTAGTAGGTTACAAAACTTATTATGCTTATTAAAACTTATTATAATATTATGCCACAGAGCGATTTATGAAAACAACTGGTAGAAATGTGTGGGTGAAATGAAACAATTTTAAAAGCAAAAGATTCACGAGATTCAGATATTGTACAAATGACTTTAACTTTGATCCCTTGCTTTAAGCTGCTTTTCTGGTGTTCATTCTCCAAAACTTCCTGGCTACTTCACACAGTGTCATTTCACAAATCCCATTACATTTGCTGAAGCATGACATTGACTAAACCACATTAACCTTTCAGTTCTGACCACTGAATCCAAGAATGTCCTTAAAGGTCAGGACTGACAGACCTGTAACCAAAAGCTTTACTGTCTGTTATGACTACTTCACCAGAGTAAGTAAACAACCTGCGCTCTACAATTTATCAGATATCACTCACCCAAAACACAACACCAAACTTTAGTAGCATTGCTATAGCTTTAGTTCAAAAGAATAAAGCTATTGTATGAAAACAAGGAGTGCAATTCAAATGTTTTCTTTAGTTTTGAGGTATGTTTTTCCTGTTGCCTTTGGATTGGGGGTTTTGTAAGACAAAACGTTGCTTTGGAAAGTATTGTCAGAAGTAATATACAGGTAAAATTATTTGAGTTAAATTAAAGCTGCACCATTTATTTCTTTATTTTTGTTTAAACATTCATACCTTGTTTTACAGTGCCATTTATCCACATGTACACTACTGTTTTTCATTAATATTATTTTCTAATTTCTTCTGTTTCTTATTTCTGATTTAGAAAATAGGATATAGCTCAAATCATACTAAATAACACACAATTAAAAAATAAATTAAAAAATAAAATAAAAACAGGCTATGTATTTATATGTGGCTCTTTTAATCAAACAGTTAAAAGTTTAATCATTTTCCTAGTAGTATTCTGTCTTGGGCGCAGTGCTGTACAGAATAAGTTAAACACTGCCATCTTATTGCTTGACATGGTTATACGTTTCAAAGAGGCTTATTTTTCTTGCATTGTGCACACATAACAAAGATGCAGAGTTACATGACATGATCAATGTTTAATTGCTTTTACTGTTGAAGCTGGACATTTATCCATTATTTAAGTGTAGCTACTACGTTTAAAAATTTTGTGACATATGAATAGACAGCACAACAGATTTAAAAGAGGTAAAGGTACAGATGTATGTTCAGGGTCACTGTACATTGTATTCTGTTGTCTAACATCTGTTGAAAGAATGGGGTGAGCTTTAGATACAAAACCTAACCACACACTCCTACTGGGTTGAGTAACTGTTAAAATCCAGTCTGGTGGTTTATAGAATGAGTTTAGTCTTTAAAAAAATTTGAATTTCAGACTCCATCTCAATCTGTAAAACTGGTGAAATGCATTTTTCCCAAGATGAAGAGAAAAAGAGCAACCAAAAATTATTCCACTGACAGACGGAGGTGGGCACGGAGAGCTGAGTTAGTTTGGGATGATGGTTTGGTATTATAGTAATGGTATTATTACTATTATTATCAAAAGACCATCTTAAAGAATTTACTCACCCAATGTAGACCTACTGTTTGACCACAATGAGTGTTCAACACAGAACCTTAAGAGTGGCAGGAGTGCTTAGCGTTTGGGTGGACCAGTGCTTTTCTGGCAGTCAGAAGAACATTAATTCATATAAACATTTTTTTTATTTAAAACGGAGGTGGGCACGGAGAGCTGAGTTAGTTTGGGATGATGGTTTGGTATTATAGTAATGGTATTATTACTATTATTATCAAAAGACCATCTTAAAGAATTTACTCACCCAATGTAGACCTACTGTTTGACCACAATGAGTGTTCAACACAGAACCTTAAGAGTGGCAGGAGTGCTTAGCGTTTGGGTGGACCAGTGCTTTTCTGGCAGTCAGAAGAACATTAATTCATATAAACATTTTTTTTATTTAAATACCACTTGATTAGACACAAAATCAAACACTGTTTTGCATAATAAACAAGAGAACATTCACATGAATAAAATCTTATTAGCATAACATCATAATAATTTATATTTAAATGGCTGTTCTTTAATGCCAGTTATGGGTAGCAACACTGTTGTTATCCCTTTAATGAGAGTTTAAACAATATTTCATCTTATCTTTTTGTACCACAGAGAAATCATGCTGTTAAAAAAGTTTTGTCCCACTCTCCGATAAACACAAAGATGCTCTGAATATTATAAATTTTCATTGTGCAGAAAAAGTTTCTAAGCATCATAAAATAGAAATATTTCCAACTGGATGACTATGGCATGAAAGTTCCACTTGTTTCCTTTTCAACATACCACTATAAAAGTCATGGTACTTTTTTTTAGGCTTTTCAGACAGCAAAGTCACACAATAACAATGACAAAATGTGTATTTCTACTTAATTTAAAATAATAATAATTAAAAAAAAACAATCTGAGGCTTTGACAGAATATTACATTTCGTGCTTTCTGTTTCCCAAACTTTCATTAGTTTTGATTCGGAATTAAATGGCGTGTCAGTGGCCTCTTCAAGAATCCACTAAATCCAGGTGTACTTTAAATACACTGCCATACAACTAGCCCTTTTAAGTTTCGACCAAAAAAAAAAAAAACATTTCACCCAAAAATAATTTTGTCATCATTTACTCACCCTCATGTCATTCCAAAAACCACGACTTTCTTTCTCTTGTGAACACAAAAATACTGTGACGATAAGGGATATTTGAAAGAATGTTCAGGCTGCTCTTTTCCACACAACAAATTGATGTCTATAAAAAAAAAGCATCAAAAGAGAGTTGTAATATGCCATATTCCAAGTCTTCTGAAGTCATATGAGAGCTTTTGCATGAGGAACAAACCGAAATAAAATTTTGGCCTCTGCCACAGATCTCATATCCTGTTTTATGAGATTCAAGAACCTGTTAAGCTGAAATATGTGCAACCACAGAAAACAGAGGGACTGATTATGACTTTATCTCACTTATAGTAACCACAAACGTCATACGGACTACTTTTATGGTATCTTATGGCCCTTTTCCACTGCGTGGTACGACTCGGCTAGGCACGGCTCAGTACGGTACGGCACGGCTCGGCTCGCGTTTCCACTGCAGTTCAGTACCGCTTTAGAGACGGCGGGATTATTCACATGTCGTTAGTTGCGCCACCTCTACTGCTGCGACTCCTGAAAAACTTTTTCATTCCGCGTCGCCCCATCAAGCTCTTGCTGGATCCGCTCCTCTGCTATCAACGAGAGGAACGTCTGTACATCCTCAACAGACAACAAAACAGCCATTTTTGGTTGTTAAAAAAGGTGAGCTCGTTCAAAACAGTTGCGTTCGATCCTTCGCTGGCTTTGCTGGTTTGTGTCGCAAGTTCAGTGACGCAGGTAGTGACGATTCTCTCCGGCCAATCCGTGATCAGCAGAGTTTACATGTCACGTTTTGGTAACGGTACGGTTCACTTTGAACCTCAACCGAGGTGGTACTAAAAAAAAAAGTACCAGGTACTGTACCCAGTGGAAAACCCCCCCAAAACAAAAGTGAACCCTACCGAGCCCTACCATGCAGTGGAAAAGCGCCATTATAGTTCCTTTATTTTGGAGCGTGCCAGCCACTAGTCACTCTCTACCTTTATCATATGGAAAAGATCAGCCAGGGCATTCTGTTAAACATCCTCATTTGTGTTCCATGGAGGACTGAAAAAACACACAGCTTAGGTATTCAGTTTACTTATAGCAAAACAACACATGGTTTAATAATTTATCAATATATTATAGAATTCTTAATTATAAGACGATGTAGGTTCAAGGACGATGCCAAATGGCACAAGCCCTGAGACACAATGTATAATTGTCCACCATGTTGGCTCTATCCTGTGGACCAGAGAGGGTTGCAATTGCAAGTCAACTCCTTGTAGCACTGCAAGACAGCAGCAGGAGCGCCACACTGTCTAGTCAGAAAGGATGTGACATCATCAGCTCCTGTGAGTTGTGTATCAGCGCTCTTAACTTCTTCCAGCAGGTGTAGTTATGACACCAGTGTTGTGTTCTTAAGTACTTTCAACTTAGTGATCTTATAGAAGTTAAAAAACTCATTCTCCTTGTCCTCCCAGTCATCTTCGATATATTTTAATCTTAGTGCTGAAGCAAGAAGTTTGTTGCAATGTTAATGTCATTATTAGATGCTCTTAGAGCTTCTTGGGCATCCATCCTTGAGAAACCCATCTCCATTAATCTTGCAACCTGGTGATAACAGCAATGTATCATTAAAAAGTTAGTATATGGCAAAAAATTATGTTCAATCTAGCAACCCATGATGCTAAACAAATAGAAGGTGGAACTGAATAAATAGTTCACACAAAAATGAAAATGTACACTCACACAGGCCATTCAAGTTGTAGATTAGTTTGTTTCTTCATCACAACAGATTTAAAGACATTTAGCATTATATCACTGCCTTACAAATCAATCCTCTGCAGTGAATGGGTGCCGTGGATTACTGTGTTGTTTGGTGAGCAAGTGATGTGATGCTAAAGTTCTCCTCTTCTGTTCTGATGAAGAAACAAGCTCATCTGTATCTTGGATGGCCTGCACGAGTGTACATTTTCAGCAAATTTTAATTTTTGGGTTAATAAACCGAGATAAAGACCAAAATCTGTAATATGATCTTACCTGCTCCTCAGCCACAGCTGTGTTATCCGGCGGGTGCATATAAGGGGGCTGTTGCGGCTGGGGACCCTCATGGTGCCGGTTCTGTCCTCTGTGCCTTAGAGTCGGGAAGAATCTGTTCCAATTCAGGAGACCTGTCTGCTGAATTAATGACAGGAATTCTTTTTAAAGTCACCATGGAATAAAAACGGACAATTCCTATTTTTATGGAACATTGCAGTGTTTATTATCAATGATCACAAATTTGATTATAAATGTGCACATCATTATTTTTAAATTCATGCATCCTCCTAATAAAAATCATCCCCTCTCCTTTCAAAAACATCTCGCCTTTAAATGACGTCACTTCTGCATCTGTGTGGGGTCACCTGTCACTCACATCAGATTGCAGCAATTAGCAAACGATGGACAAAGTCCCACCCTACATTTTTTTTCTCATTTGAGAAGCCAGTTCATATAATCAGATATACAATAAAGAAGAAAAGCATAATGTAAATTTTACTTTATATAACTTTATAGACAGTGTATCTTGCTGTGTATTTCTTTATCTTATCTTACTGTAGTCCAATAGAGGTAGCTTTTTTGTAACTGTGGTGATTTCTGTCTCTCTCCACATTCAAAAACTCCAATAAAAGACAAACTTAACAACCGGCAAGCATTATCCCTACTTCATATTCATAATCCTACTACAGGTTTATCAACTACAATGCTAACATACTCTAGGCCTAATTCATAGCTACACATAGGTCTTAAAACATGAGAGAAAACAAGAATGTTCTATGCTAATTATCCATATCATTTCCAGAAAATAACAGCTTTTCTCATTTTCAGTTAGATTTTTATCAAGGACAAAATGATCTGCACTTGTATCAGGTATCCGTGATGAAACCATGTGGCTGTCTGTGTTTGCTCACAGGAAACCATTAACTTCCTCTTGTTCAGAAACATTGAGAGAAAATAAATGGAAAAAAAGATGAAAAACAAGACATATCACTGAACATCTTGTCCAACCAGAGTGACAGAAATACAGAAATGGAGCTAGATGACTCATTGCAGTTTTGATGTCTATACCTCATCTCTGGAAATGTAAGCAGACCTCCATCACTGTTTTTCCCACAAACAGCATGGCTTGTGATCCAATACTATTTGAACATACCCGATCAAGAAAATACTTTAAAACTTTGAAATGGAAACTTCTTACAACTCATTTAGAATATAAAAATTATACCAATAATCTAATTTCACAATAATTTCACAAACTTCTGTTTTTGAAAAAGCAGATCACAACTAAGGTGACTGTATAATATCTGAACAGGTAAGCTTATATAAAATACAAGAAAAACACCTAGAAGACAAATTATAACACAAATACTAATTTGCATAAACAAGCCGAAAACACAGGACATAGCACAGGAACTCGAATCTGAAACCAATTTGTGAACTAAAAACAGCTGAACGTTAATTACAGGGACAATCCTGGTACTAAAAGTTCAGCAATAAAAGTCAGACCTCTGAAAGATGTAGTTGAGATAGTAGCATCTCTACTTACTCAGTCACTTGCCAACACTCAATAACAAGCACTGGTGAATAAAAGAGATTTTGATTCTGACAATAACACACTGCTACGTCACACTGCGGAGATATTCTTAGCCAGGGAGCTGGGAGCCACTAGGAGGCCCCAACAAACTTCCAAGGGGCTGCAGGATGACTTAAAGGGGTCATATGTTGCGATTTCAATTTTTCCTTTCTCTCTGCATTTCCGTCACACGCTTGAGGTATTCGGCCAATCACAACGCATTGGATAGCTGGCCAATCACAGCTCACCTCGCTTTTTCAGACCGATGAGCTTTGTAAAAATCAACGCGTTTCAGAAAGGCGGGGCAAAGAGGACAAACAATAATGTACAGTATGTGGAAAATGTGTTTTTTTAACCTTAAACCGCATAAACACATTTCATTACACCAAATACACCAAATAATGTTCTTTTTAGCAACATCATATGACCCCTTTAAAATTACTCTAATATATTTTTATGAATACAATTAATATTCCCATTGTTCATATTTTTAGTAGATTAAAATAATCAAACTTAATTAAAATGCTAAAAAAGACATAAGTCACATAAAATGTTTTATTTTTTCCCCTCAATAAATATACTGAGTAGGGTTGGGTATTAGGCTTGCTGCGATAGACGGTGTTTTCGGTTATACCGGTGTTAAGCCGCAACACCGGTTACATCATTTGCCTACCGCGGCACCGCCCCCCACCGTCGTTTTGATTTTTTTATAGTAACAAAAATCATTTAGCCTAGTTCAGTTAGAGGACAGATACTTTTAAAAACTAAACTGTCAATGCAGCGTGCCGAACCGTGCGCGAACGACAGTGCACCACGAAGCAGGAATCAGATTTTATTTATCACGTGAGGAGAGTGAATCGAGCAGACTGACAAGAGTGAGGTGAGAAAGACAAGACGATGGCAGAAGATTATTTAGAAAGGAAATGCAAAGGCGCAGGTTTGGCAATATTTTAGATTTTGAAAAGCCTATTGACTGGAAGTTTTTTTTAAACATTCGTTTCTTATTTATTTGGTTTCACAGTGTTTGCTGATTACTTTATTTAAACTTTGTGTATTTTATTTATTTTATTTTACATCAAGGTGTATATGCCGTGCCTCCAAGCTTTCTTTTTTTATAGTAACAAAAATCATTTAGCCTAGTTCAGTTAGAGGACAGATACTTTTAAAAACTAAACGCTCAATGCAGCGTGCCGAACCGTGCGCGAACGACAGTGCACCACGAAGCAGGAATCAGATTTTATTTATCACGTGAGGAGAGTGAATCGAGCAGTTAATAAAAGTTCTGAGTTTGACGTTGTTGTTGCTTGAATTGAATCAACGCTGAATTGCCCCTAATTTGAAAGTGAAAGTAAACTGTGCACGGCGGTTTTTCAAGCTATTTGAAAGCCAAGAAATCCGAGGAAAAGAGGGAAACTCAAACGAGCTGTTTCATTCATGACAGACAGCTGCTTTCTTTAGGTCAACGGCAGTGCGAACGCAGATTTAAATGTTCAAATCACACTGGTGTTATTGTACGCTGCACGGACGAACCAAGTGATCACAACATTGATCGCACACGTCAAAGGTTGAGGAATGAAACAGACGAATCATTGTATTTTAGGAACAGAATCACGTTTGTGTTTGAATCGTATTCGCGATCTTTAACGATCTATTAAATGAAAGTGCTTTGTCATGTTGGTGGTGACACCTCTCTTGCAACATGTTTAGCTATCACAGATATTATACTTAGCTTTTTTGGCTTCTGATCGCAAATGTAGCCAAACTTTGGAGCGCTTAGATTAGCGAGTAAGGTCCTGGCAGATCGCTAGGTCCGGTCATCACAGATGAAGAAAAAAAAAAGCACATAGGAATCGATAGGCAGAATCTAAATTTTAATTTGACAACAAGTATCAGATTCCTGACATTAAGTATCCGATTCTGGAATCGGAATCGATTTTTGATTCCCAACCCTAATACTGAGGGAAAAATCTTGCCTCATTAGTGTTGGACAATGGGGTTTTGACTCAAAAAGGTAAAGAACAACTGTTCTAAACCTTGACCATAAGTGAGATGTTCATCTGATCTTTGGAAGGAGTAAGCTGTATGCCATTCATGGCAAGGCTAGTTCTTCTCTGTCGTGTGAAGGGGTTGTAGAATAACCCAATGGTTAAAAGTCTGGACTGATAACTAAAATGCTATAAGGCAGTCACCCCAGGTAGTTCAGAACAAAAGTATTGTAGAAGTACCTGAGCCTGTTGTTGCTGTGCATTTCTCCTGAGGTGTTCCAGCTGAGACAGGAGCAGTTGCTGGTCCAGCATATCCATCCTCTGCTGTCTCTGGATGTCTAAAGTAGCGCCCATCCCCAGCGGAGCCTCTGCAGTGGGCTCAGAATTGGAGAAGACCGGCTCTAGGAGCACCGAACCACATCTGGCTGCCCATCCTGGAACACGTATGAACTTCTGGACTGCCAACTTATTACTATAATACAACATGCCTGCAATCTGGAACAAAGTGATTGTAACAGGAGAGGTTACCATAAAAACATGAGAGTAACACTGTGTTTACACCAACACAAGTGTTTTTAGAAATAGCATGTAAGCCTTGCAAGACAAGGCATCTACAAGGAGCCAGATTACTATCAAATCAAAAGATCTTTGTTGCTTTTAGACCATGTCTATAAGCTTTGAAGCCATCTACAGTATATGTAAGTGTACTTCTAAAAGCTGACACAAATTTTTCCCTAGTCCATGAAAATGGACTAAATGCATTGGCAGTTCATTTTGCTAACAGATCCAATGTTCTTTAAAATGAGAATTTTCCTTCTGATACCACAAATTGAATTAGCACACCGTGTATTTTTTGTGACAGGATTAAAACAAAACACTACAGTATTCATTTTAAAATTAAAATAAAAATAAAAATGTCTTCTGACCCAATTTCCTGTTTCAAAAAGACTTTTCAAAGCATTGCTATGAATGGGAGGAACTACAACATGCAATACTGCACTCTAGAAACAGTTTTTGTTATTTCATTGTGAGTTTGGCCAGCAGCTTTCGAGAGTTGGTATTTCCCTATTTAAATAGATAGGAGTTGGTCATGCATGCCGTAAATAGGCACCTGCATGAACCAACTTGCATTGAAATAGACTTCAATAGACATTCATGAAACAAATTCTTGGGGCCAGAAGACAGCAATTTCATCTTTATTTTTCAAACAACACATTTAATTATGTTTAACATAATCATAAAGTGTGGCCCACCAATCTGAGAAGTTGTGGTTACGATGGAAATGGAAATCGGAGCAAACTCTGCAGCGGTAGCAAAGACTATCTAAAGTAACTAGGTATTTAAAGTTACCATAAAGATTTTTTTTACCATTAGAGCATACAACATGCTTTCTGATAAATTTAAAAGACACAAAAAACCCAGAATTAATTTATTACATAATTTGCGGTTCTCTATGTGATGACTGGGTTAAAGGGATATTTCACCTAAAAATGAAAACACTTGTTCGAAACCTTGTTCAAAGTTATTTCAGACCCCATAAGCTAAACATTGTGCTGACTAAAGCAGTTATTTCTTCAAAATATCTTCTTTTGTCAACCCTTGGCAATTGAATCGCCATTGGCTAGTAAATTTTTCCCTATATAGTGCACTACGTGCCATTCACTGTACAGAAAATACTAATTCTGTGGACAAGTGACCGATTTCAGCCGCGGCTTCAGCGTCTATTTTATAGTGTAGGGGGCGGGCGCTTCGGATTCTAGAGAGCATTTGATTGGACAGAAAGTTTGATGAGAAGCTGAAGTACGATGCGACGTCAAAAAAATCATTGAGCCGTTTTGGCGGAAGTGACGAGTTTTGAATGCTTATGTCTCCTAAATGCGAATTTTGTCACCGTTTTGGAGCACACTGCCTTATAGATAACCGTAAGACTAACATATTGATACTAACACCCAAAAAACTTTAATTTTGATTTCATGGGGACTTTAAAAGCTGAAGAATTCCAAAGGAACATTATTATAACATGTTATTTTGACAGGAAAATACAACAAAGAATATCGATTACATGTAGCGCGTCAATTCTGCATGGTATGTAAGACTCTCTCGCTCTGTCTCTCTCTTTGCGTGTGAGAAAAAAGCAAAGCGGCGGCGAGTCGTGCGCCTTCACACTAGAGTTTATGGTACGTCAAACACAGGTTCGCTGCGCATCCATTGAGATGAACTGAAAAATAACACAGATCGCCTGACGGAGAGAAGCGCTCAGTCAGTGTTCAGCAAGTGAAAATATATCTGTGCTAAACTTATACTTAGCCTCCAACTCACACACTGGCGAGTAAAATCTGAGAATTTATTAGCCATTGGCTAATATTAGACATAATTTAGTCGCCCAGAGTGAAGATGTAGTCGCATATGCGAGTGATTTACTCGCAATGTAGAGAGAGGGTTGTTTGTGTTCCCCAGGAGAAAGTAAGTTACACAGGTTTGGAACAACATGGAGTAAATGATGACAGTATTTTCATTTTTATTTATCTTTTCCTACTAGAAACCACCATCACTGAATGCTCTAATGGTAAATCTTTAACCTAGTGATAGTAATAGTAGCTTTAACCTAGTGAACGTCCAAACATCCACAAAAAAAAAAAAAGTCTTCATTTCCATAGGTTCAGCAACTTCTCAGGTCAGTGAATCTTGTGGGTTGTATTGAATTTCATCATATACATGTAATCATACTTACTAAAGACCATTACAGATGCAAAAAAGGAAACATAGAAACATGATGCTATTTTAATTGAGCCACTTTATACTTACTAGTCCACTGCAAGCAACCACCCACATGTAGGCACTTGAGGTCAGGAGCTGATGACAAGATAACAGAACAACAGAAAAACAAAAGAAATTCAGAACTATGTGAAGAAAGCACTTTCACATCCACAAAGTATCTTTGAAGCATTACAAACCAGTAACGCTAACTCACTAAATCATCCATAAACAAGTGTTCGATAAAAAGAAACATCTTATTTGATGCAAGAGTGGAACAAAAAATATGAACATGAATTTAATGAAACCCAATTAATGATCTATTATTACAAGATTAAATTACATTGGTTAGTATAAATGGATATGGTTGTGAATGCATGACTGAAAAAGACTGTAATGGTAAAAGGTAAAAAGTCATTTACCCTTGTCTGTTTTTCTAACGAGTAAGTATGCAACTTCATCTGTTATCGCTGATATCTCAAATCAGCTCAAAACCCGACCAGAGCACGAGACCACAACGAATAGGTTCTCAGGTGCTAGAGTTTCTCATGTCTCTGTTATCCTACAAAATTTTATCTGTGGTTTCTACTCTTGCAACAAATATCTGGTGTTTTTGAAAAACCCCGCACCTTTTTAGCCGTTTAAACTTCATGTTTTGTCTTCACTTGTTCGTCAAAAGATGTGCCAGTAAATGTCACTTACTATCCTAAGATCTCAAGCAGCAATGACTTTTACTTTTTGTGTGTAGCTTCTGAGATAAACTAGCAAAGTGGGAAATCTTAAAGAAGTACAGAAAACTAAAGTGAAGATGATTTGTGAAGGCAGTCTGAGCTCACCTGTGCGCCCACAATGTACGTCAGAGACTTGTTTGTGATTGAGATGTGGCCGAGAAGCTGAGTGACCTGAACACGTGGGATGGAGCTGTAGAAAGGCACAAAGAGAGCAAAGACTGGGCCCAATCTGAGAAAGAGAAAGAAAATGAAGAGTTAGACACAGAAGGAAAAGTCAAGTGAATCCTCAACCTTGCTGTCAGATGACAATACAGAATGAAAATGTGCAAATTAATGACATGTAATAGTGCCTGCCCATGATGAAGAAAAGGGGAAATCTCTTTAAAATCTAATTTAAAACATTCCTTTACGTAGAAAGTAACATTTTCTTTCCTATCCTTAATCATTATTTTCCAATGTAATGTAGACTAAAACATTGTTATGTGCAACAATACATTGGCGAACAGTCACTTGTTTTTCTAGTTAATTTGACAACACTTCATATAGTATTATATACATAACAGAGGAAATAAAAGGGTACTAAGTAGTACGGTAGGATGTTTCATTGACACAATTTATCGGTTTAAGAATTTATCTATTGACAAAGGTGATAGATAGCAAGGTCTCTGTTAAGCAGTTTTTCAGATAAACATCAAATTCTCATTACAACATACAATGACGCAACAATCATTACAAAACTCAGAATATGGTTTATCAACCATTTAAGAAGAATGACAAGTGGGGTAACAGCTTACGCAAACTAGCACTTCAATTAAGTACTACGTAAATTTGACTTTTTCCATTAGCTATTTTTCACATAATTTTAACTTCCTTTCTACTGTTTCCTTTATTTAAAAAAAAAAATGATAGGACTTGTGCAATAACTACCTTACTAAGTCTTAAACTAGGAAACTAAGAAACTAAACATGTTTCTAAATGCGGATTCAATCCAGATCAACGGTAACTATAGTGTCTGACGTAAAAATATCTAGATGTTTCAATGAAAGTCACAAGATAATTTCACTTCTCCATATAGAGTTAAAGAGTTCAACCAAAACTGAATAATCTGTCACCATTTCCTCACTTTCATGTTGTTTCAAACCTGTATTCATTTCTTTCTTCTGTTGAACAAAAGAACCGAACAGTTGCTGGTAGCCACTGATTTCCATATTTTTTCTATACTGTGGAAGTCAATGGTTAACATCAGTCTTCAAAATATCTTCTCTTGAGTTCAACAGAAGAAAAAAATTATTACAGGCTACAACAACCTGTTGTAAATGCTGACGGAATATTCATTTTTGGGTGAACTATCTCTTTAAGCAGACTCACCACGCTGCTAGAAAGAGAGAGAGAGAGATAAGAGAGGAACAGAGTAACAGACAGTGAAAAAGAGGCAGGAAGAGATGCTGAACTCTCGGTTTTGCTGCATTTTACGCTGCTTTAAAAGTGAGATATAGAGATGTATTTATACATATAGCACCAATGTCTGAGTGAAAATCTACTCTATCTTATCCGGTAAGTAAATAATTTCTTTCAATTTTTGATAAAAAGGGCAGAAGAAATGAAAATGTGTGTGTTTTGGAAAATCGTGTAATTAAAAGTGTGAAATTAAGCTCAAACATTTAAAAATATATACATTTATGTAAAGGTTTTTTTTTATCAAATTTTATGGTGACCATGTGTGAAGTTAATTTATTTTATTCTTCATTGCACAATGGCCTACAATAAAATATTAACATTTCTGCAAAAGCTTTTTTAAAAGCTTATGAGTGACTAGATTTGTATATATTTGATTATATGGTGACACTTTACCTTGGTTAATGCATTAACTAAAGTTAAATAACAATACTATCCATTTATTACAGTATTTATTAAACTTTGTTAACATTAGTTATTAATAAAAATACAACTGTTCATTGTTAGTTTGTGTTAGCTCAGGTCCATTAAATAATGTTAACAGATACAAAAAAGTACATTTTATTTGAATAATGTGTTAGTAAAATACTGAAATTAAAATGGACTAAGATTAATTAACGATTTACTATTTTTCACTGTTAGCTCATATGAACTAATGTACTTAACTTATGTTAACAATTGGAACTTTATTGTAAAGTGGTACTGATTATATTTAATTTCAAATAAATGTCAAAAAAAGTCACAAACTGTATTTTAAATGCTCATTTAAGATAGTTAACATAACATAACAGATAACATAATAATGCAGGATTGTAGACAAAGCAACAGACACGTGGAAAAAGTACATTTTATTTGAATAATGTGTTAGTAAAATACTGAAATTAAAATGGACTAAGATTAATTAACGATTTACTATTTTTCACTGTTAGCTCATATGAACTAATGTACTTAACTTATGTTAACAATTGGAACTTTATTGTAAAGTGGTACTGATTATATTTAATTTCAAATAAATGTAAAAAAAAGTCACAAACTGTAATTTAAATGCTCATTTAAGATAGTTAACATAACATAACAGATAACATAATAATGCAGGGTTGTAGACAAAGCAACAGACACGTGGAAGAGAAACAAGCCTCGCATGAAAAAAGGGAAACAGCTTAAAAACTACAGAAGTCTACATACTTACTACAATCAACAATATTGAGAACAGAATTACTATTCATAGTAAAACTGTACACTACCATTCAAAGGCTTGAGGTCAGTAAGAAATTTTATATTAATTATTACTTCCATCAAGGACAAATCAAATGAATAAAAAGTGACAGTAAAGACACTGTCACTTTATAATAAAGTTACAATGTTTACAAAAGATTTCAATTTCAAAGAATCCTAGAAAAAAAATAAGGTTTGCACGAAAGAATATTAGGCAAATATAAATTAATATTAACTGTTTTCAACACAGATAATAAAAAGAAATGTTACTTGTGCATCAAATCAGCATATTATATAATGATTTATGAAGGATCATGTAACACTGAAGACAGGAGTGATGGCAGCTTTGCCATAAATTACATTTGACAATATATTAAAACAGATTACATTTATTGTAAATTGTAATGATATTTCACAATATTGCAGTTTTTACTGTATTTTTGATCAAATAAATGCATTAAAACAATCCTTTGCCTCTCTCTCTGCAGTGATTTCTCCTGTATATAACTAAGATGAGCCCAGATTTAGAGCAAAACGTCTCTTGCACCAACTTGTATGACCATCGTCCAGTGGCCCGAGTTCTCATACCTCTGGCCTATTCCATCATATGTCCAGTGGGACTTTTAAGCAATGCCCTGGCTCTTCATGTGATCTTCTTAAACATCACCAAACTTAATTCCATCACGCTTTATTCCGCCAACCTGGCAGTGTCTGATATCCTGTTCTGCCTGTCGCTTCCCCTCCGAGCTGTTTACTACGGCCTTGGCTTCCACTGGCCCCTGGGGGAAGGACTATGTAAAGCCATAGCACTGCTCTTCTATTTGAACTGCTATGCTGGAGTAAACTTCATGACTTGTCTGGCAATCGATCGTTTTGTGGCACTGGTGTTTCCTCTGAAGCTGGCGAAATTGAGAAAAGTGAAAAATGCCCGATTAGTGTGTCTGGCCATATGGCTGCTGGTGTTGGCCCAGACGCTGCCTCTCCTGACCATTAACTTGACCAAAACGGAGCCTGACAACAGCATCACCTGTATGGAATACCCTAATTTTGAGGGCCTTTTCAAAGGGCTGCCCTACTTGCTGATTGTTGGGGTAGTTTTAGGCTTTGGAGTCCCACTGGTGACAATCATCGCCTGCTACTCTATATTGACCCGTAAACTACATCTAGCAGCAAAGTCGAACCGGCTGACAGAACGTTCTGGAAGGACCAAAAAAGCAAGAGGAGTGATCGCAGGAGTGGTATTTGTGTTTGTGGTGTGTTTCAGCCCATACCATCTAGACCTTCTGCAATACATGATCCGAAAACTTATCTATGATCCGGACTGCAAGGAGCTACAGTCCTTTCAGATATCGCTGCATATTACAGTGTGCCTTATGAACTTAAATTCGTGCCTGGATCCCTTTGTTTACTTTTTTGCATGTAAAGGCTACAAGCAGAAGCTGATGAGAATGATGAAGTGGCAGGTTGGCACCCACTTCTCTAGTGTTGGAAGAACCTCCCCTGAAAGTTCAGGCACAGGCGATGTGCTCGGCACACGCCGCAACACAGGAATAACAATGAACAATATTAGAGAAGGTCAGTAAAAAAATTGCCAACAAAAGCCAACATAAGGTGATGAAACGTGATAACAAACACATACAGTATGTGGGGCCGAACTTGAGACTTAAAAGCCAAGAACAAGGCAAAACAAGTCACAGACAAAAACAGAAATGAAACAGATGGACGCTTGACAAGCACTGGCATCAAAGTTGAGAAAGAAAAAATACTTGCTGCAAAAAGACAATAAATGTTGAGCATTTTTCATTCAAAACATAACTGTTAAAGGGTCAGTTCACCAAAAATGAATATTCTGTCAATATTTACTCACTTGTTCTAAAACTGTATGACTTCCTTTCTTTTATGAAACAGAAGATTTTCTTTTTTAATTTACAATGGAAGTCAATAGTCACCAAAATGGTTTGATTACCAACATTCTTCAAAATATTTTCTTTTGTGTTTCACAGAAGATGGAAAGTCACAGGTCTGAAATGACATGAGGTTGAGTACAGTTTTATTTTTGGGTGAACTATTCATTTAAGAACAGTTAATGGTTCACACATAAATAAATGAATCATTCCTAAGTTTTAAAAATTGCAAAATAAAGCTACTGAACTATCAAAAAGATGCTTTGATTGTGAAAAAGTTTCAAAGATGATGACACTTCATCAAACGTTTTTAACACATTTTTTTTGATTGACTGAGTTCTTAGATAGATGGCAAGATTATCAAGAAGGCAAATCGATTTTTCACATCAAAAAAGGAAACCACTATGCCAGTCTCTTGTTAAGAAGAGTCTAAAAGCTAGTAGCTCAAAGGAAATAACTTGAAATAAGAGGGTACTTTACTTTCACAAGACCTTGCCATTTCAACACGTATTGCTTTTATAAATTGGTGAGATGTTGTTTTGCCAGTAAAGAATACTTTCATAACAATACAATGACACAAGAAATTTAATCTAAAAGACAATGTCAAAAAGGGAAGTTGACATTGTTTGTTCCACAGGAAAGAGCTGCACTTTCACATACATAAAGTGTTCCAGGATTTAATACATTTTGTGCTTACAGCATACAGTAAATGCACGTGGCAATACTGTTGAAAACATCTAACGGTTTGTACTAAAGACCAACTGTTAAAATGGTGTAGAAACTCGTGCCACTCACAGTCCAGCTGGAAGAACATCCACTTTAAGTTCAAACATGAAAAAAGGGGGGGAGGGGAGGGGATGGGTGAGTTAGGAGGGTTAAAGTCATCAGCATGTGAATGTAGAGTAGGCAAACATGTTAAAGGAAATGCTTGGTAGCATATGAAAGGGTTTTTGATTTAATTAAAAAATTGACTTGTTTTGTTCATAGCATTTTAACAAAATGCACATCATAAATAGTAGGCTGAAGAGCAAATCTCACGCCCTTAAACATCTTTAAAAATTAGTCAACTGATTGCCAGATAAGATGAAGGCGTTCCAAGTTTCTCTGTGACTTTCAGGCACCTTTTCTTAAACTGGTTGGTGTGTACAGCCCCATATTGGTATTTTTGAATATCAAATTTATCCAGAAATTATTTACAATTTTTTATTTATTTATTTATTATACCATACAATTTTATGTAGAGAATGTTATGTAGAAAATGGGTGCAAATCTTAAATGTGACCCTGGAGCACAAAACCAGTCTGAAGTCGCTGGGGTATATTTGTAGCAATAGCCAAAAAAATCATTGTATGGGTCAAAACTATTGATTTTTCTTTTATGCCAAAAATCATTAGGATATTAAGTAAAGATCATGTTCCATGAAGATATTTTGTAAATTTCCTACTGTAAATATATTAAAACTTAATTTTTGATTAGTAATATGCTTGATAAGGACTTCATTTGGACAACTTTAAAGGCGATTTTCTCAATATTTAGATTTTTTTGCACCCTCAGAATCCAGGTTTTCAAATAGTTGTATCTCGGCCAAATATTGTCCTATCCTAACAAACCATACATCAATGGCCCTTATGACTGGTTTTGTGGTCCAGGGTCACAAATGTCTATGGTATAACAAAGCAGAAGCATATTGTGTCAGTACTTCACAGTGTATTGAAAATGTCACTTGTCTAGAATACATTTTGCAATGTCATATTAAAAAAACAGGAAGACACACAACAGTGCTGCTATTCAAACTTACAGCAAATTTGTGGCTGCCAAACCTTCTCTCAAAAATACGAAAGTTGTAGATAAGCAAACTGCTGCAGAAAGTGTCTTTCAGGTCCAAGCAGATGAGCCGTCCACTCACCAGCCTCCAGAACTACAAGCGAGCCATGGAACACACACAGGATAATTGTGTTTAGAAATACTAGAAATAATTCAAAATGCTATTAGTTAAAAATATTTACAAACACAATAACAGTCCAATAAAATGATCGTTTATATCTGAAAACTGTCCAGAATGCTTGGCCTATAGAATGACTGATAATGCTCTTTTATGACCAATATGATATAGTTTATTTTTAAGCATCTAATCACCAATATACAAAAACTATTTTTTATGCCACAATAGCTCACTATTATTACTAACAACAGTAATAAAAAAAAGAATAAAAGGGCAAACATTCCAAAGCGATATACATTGTTAAAATGTATGCATTATTATATAGTGCACTGAATTCTTTAGGTCAACTGGTTTAATATCTCACCTGCTTGCCCTGCCTGACAGCCTGGAGGTTGTATATGAACAGATCCTGGTACTGAGGCAGAAGCACAGTCAGCAGCACAGTGAGGACTGTAGGAAGCAGCAGTAAGCTCTTGGACAGGGGTGCTTTATCTGTAAGACGCAGCACAGATGTTGTACTGTTAAATGTGTCACCAAGGAAATTATAACTTCTAACATTTGTCATGTCAGTGGATGAAAGTTAATATTCCAAATGGGGGACCTATGGGTCCATTGGGTGATTATGTGAGTAGACCAAATTCAGTCAAACACACTGGTTTATGTCACCACTGATATAACCATGGTGGTGACTACAATTTCTTTAAAATAATTAAATTAAAGGAATAGTTCATTCAAAAATGAAAATTTGCTGAAAATGTACTCACACTCAGGCCATGGGTGAATGGGCGCCGTCAGAATTAGAGACCAAAGAGCATAGCAAAAATGTTGCAATAATCAACAAGCAATCCACGCGACTTCAGTACATCAATTAACATATTGTGAAGTAAAAAGCTGTGCTTTTAAAAAAACAAATCCATCATTAAAGGTGCAGTAAGCAATTTCTGAGAAACACTGTTGAAAGTGGATCACACCGAGCACCAAAATACACTCCTAGCCAATCACCAGTAAGTGCCGTGTGCACTAATGATGGGGGAGTTGCCTGTGTTGCACAGCATGTTTGTGAATTTGGTGGCGGTACTATCAAGCTCGGTTGGAGCTTGTTTATTTTGGTGATTTCAAATATCAACAGCGCTTCTCAGAAATCGCTTACTGCACCTTTAAGACGTTTTAACTAACGTTTTAAGAACCCTTTCTCCAGTGAAGAAGTCCATCTCCTGTTGACATCAAAATCTATCCACATATTTGTTTAGAACTGTTTTGGCTTAAAAAAAAGTCTTAAAGGGGTCATATGATGCGATTTCAAGTTTTCCTTTCGTTTCAGAAAGGCGGGGCATAGAGGAGAAACAATAATGTACAGTATGTGGAAAATAATGTGTTTTTTTAACCTTAAACACATTTCATTACACCAAATACACAAAATAATGTTCTTTTTAGCAGCATCATATGACCCCTTTTAAATATGGATTTGTTTCTTACAAACGCATATTTTGACTTCACAAGATGTTAATTGATGGACTGGAGTTGTGCGAATTTCTTGTATATTTTTGTGATGTTTTTATCAGCTGTTGGGACTCTCATTCTGACGGCACCCATTCACTGCAGAGGATCCAATGGTGAGCGAGTAATGTAAAGTTTCTCCAAATCTGTTCCCATGAGAAAACAAACTCACTTATATCTCGGAAACTATAGTTACTATGGTAATTTTCATCAGGTTTTCTAGGGCAACTGTCATTTAAAAATGTACACTCTTAAAACTGAAAGAAAAAATAGTATTCCACAGCAGGGTTGCTGCAGGATTTTTAAGCTCAAATTTAAGACTTTTTAAGACCTTTTTTAAGACCTGCACAAATAAAATTAATACCATATGAGCGGGGTAAGGCAATGTCTATGGTAAACTATTAAACTGTAAAAAGTATGATTTAAAGTTCAGATACAAGTTTTCACAAAAACAAAAAGTTTTATAATGATAAACTTTACATTTCAGCCTTTAAACCATTGTTAAGAAAATGGA